AGAGAAAAGTTCCCATCATGCAGGCGACATATTTAACTTACATTTTCTTCTGTCAGAGCTTGAAGTCTCTGTTGAAGTTCTTTTGAATCAAGCTGTTGGTCCTGAGCGTCCATCTTCACTCAGTGTCTGCTGCCTGTGGCCCTCACTGTATCCACCAACAATATGTTGCCATGGTTGAAATAACACAAACAAAGCTGGTCTGCTTTCGTACTGAATTTCATACCAAACATTACAGTTGATTCATTCAAACAACAGCACCACAAAATGCTGCAGCGCAGACGGCAGCACTCAGGCTCACTACAAACCATCTGCCTTCACCACCAGCTACACTCAACTCATCCTGTCGAGGACTAAAGATGTCTACAGTTAGAAACTCAGTTTACACTGTTGTCTGCCGCTGTATCACAACAATACTGACTGTGTTGGAAACTCTGACCTGTGTTAACGTTTAGATGTAATTTTTCCATCTATTATTTCAATCTGATAAAAAAAACAGGGCCCAAGTAAACACAGATGTTATTACTGACACTAAAAGTTTCAGAGACTTGATGAATGTGATTCATAACACATATGTTTATCTACTGAAAAGGTCTATAGCGCCCCCTTGCTGCCACAGTTTGTGCAACTACATCACTTTCACCCTCTGGTTTCCACAGTAAATTGAATTAAACGGAGCAAATAAAATTAGTATTGTTAGACCAGCATGGTCACTAATTCCTTGTTTTATCAATGGTTAATGTTACAGTAAATAATTGACTTTTTTTGAGTGTGTTACAGAATGTATGAAAATCACTATATAACATAAAAGGTCGTACAATGGAATTTAATTTTAAAAATGTTTTATTGTAGGAACTTTACAGTGCACTGTAATGAAAAACATTATTTCGCAATATAATGTGCACGGTAGAAATTGGCTTGAAGTTATCAAAATAGCTGCAAAATATTTTACAGAAATACGATTTTTGACATAGAGAGGATATTCACAAATAATACATTGAGTGAAATTAAAAAAAGACAGATTGTGACAAAATGCCTGTAAACCACACACTTAGACCTGGGGATAAATATAAGACAAAATAAAGCACAACATACACATTTGATTTGGAAGAAGGCAATAGTTAATAGCAATCATTTACACCATGCCGAGTAATGGCTACCTGCAGGAGAAGCACTGGAGGAATGTGTGTGTGAATGGGTAAATGCGACTTATGTAAAACTCTTTGAGTGGACGATAAGACTGGAATAGTGCTACATAAATACAGCCCATTAACCATGTAGCATCTCTACATTGGACTGGACTCTCGTGTGGGGTGACATGTCCATCAGCTCTTATTTAAATCTAAATAAAATGACCACAGACATGTCACAGCTCTTCAGTTAGAACCTGTAGTTTTAATTTCTTCCCTTGTTCCTGAGCCAGAATGTACGTTTGTACTTTGAAAATTCCGAAAAAATGACCTGCAGAACATTAAACATCCTCAAGCCTTAATCAAAGTGAGGGAGATACTTTGTCTCATGTGATATGATTAAATGCCATGTAACAACCAATTACTGTGCAAATTTACCAATGTGACTGAAATGAATCAATCGCTCATCTCGGCACTGTGTCTTTCAGGGCCAACTGTAGAAGACTGAAAATGCTCTACATACACAAATAGAAAATAGAAAGAAATACATGATATATGATAATATATAAGACTCTTTTAAGACAAATTCAGGTCCTCCTCCACTTCGTCTTCCTCCTTCACAGTTTGCCTGTGGTCATCACCATCTATAGAAACACCCATCCCTCTCTGCAACGCCTCTAAACTGGCCTGGCTAATGTAGTACCTCACGTTCTGCGATGGAAGCCGCTTCTGGAGCTCCTCGAGCTTACGATACGCCTGGATGAGAAGGATTGAAGAAGACAGAGAGATGAGTGGTGAAGAGTCATACTGAAGGGCCATGTTAAAGAAACTAAATTATGAGATATCGCAAATAAAGTCGTAATTTAGAAAAAAGTCATTATATAACTTGATTAAAATTGTAATTTAACGAGTAGAAAAGTCATAAATTTTGGATATAGCAATGATAACGCATGCTCGCCAGAGTTTTCTGGAAAAACTACAAAACACCTTTGAATATCACACAGATTTAACCAAAGATTTCTGCCTCAATACAAGTCTGTGTCATTCTTTCTTTAGAAGAGACACAGTGTCTTGTACCACCTTTTTTTTAAAGTCTTGATACTTATAATACTGTGGTGCTGATGTGACCAAAACATTTTATATTTTGTTATTTGTGATTCATATTCCAAAGTGTAACTGAAGAAGATGCACGACATTCTTCATTTTAACATAGCTTCTCATATTCCCTCTCTAAAATGACACGTATGCTTAAATTATGAATCTATGCTTGTCAAATCAACAAAATGACAGTTACCACTTCTAAGTTGCCTTGCTGACAGTGATGTTCCACCAGAAAACCAAACGCATCCCCAATCCTGACAGCAGGGTCCAACTCTGGCTCCTCCAGCAGGGCTTCACATAACCGCACTGCCTCATCAGCGTTCTCCGGATACAACCTGCAGACGAAGGACAGAATCAAAGTTCAAGTGATGACGGCCAGGAAGAAAGAGGAACTCATTAAGGTAGAAAAGAGAAGAAGAAGGATGAGCTGTAGTCTTACCTGCGTGCATGGACAAATTTCTTAATCAGTGACACCTTATGCTGCAGGTCGGCCACTCTCGCTTCCTGCTGTCCACCTGAAGAGTCCTTCGCTTTTAACAGACACTTGGCAGCTTCAGTCAAAGCATCCAGTGCCTTCTCATAGTTCTGGTAATCATCAATCTCCACCTTCACAAAAGAAAAAAAAAAAAAAAAAAAAGTTATTATTTCTTCATTCAGTATTTCAACACCGTGTAAATAAAGTAAAATACTAAGGTTTTCACAATTGCAACTGGAATCATCACAAAGAATATAATAATCCAACAAAGCCATGTTTTTATCTATAAAACTTATTTTGACTGTTGTGCATTACTGTATTTGAAATTATATATCACTGAATGTACAATTTGCACAATCAGATGTACGTTTTCTAGATTTCTGAAACTTAAAACAACTTCCATAAAAGGAACAGACTTATCCCAGAACTCTGTCTTTGTGCATGTGTCATACCTGAGCACAGGCTTCATAGAAGCCAGCCAGCAGGTCCGGTGCCCTGCCTTTAGTGTAGAAACCGATGATGGTCTTCAAGATCTCTGGATTGTTCCGCCAGTCCAGAGACTGGAGGTAGTTGGCGGCCATGATGAAAATCTCCTTCTGACGACAAACGTTGGCAAAGAAGACTATTTTCTCTGTGTCGCCCGACTTCAAGAGTGCCCTCATAGCCTGTCTCGTTAAAAATAAGAAAAATATTTCCATGGTTTAATACTGTTTGCGTGCTTCTATACTGCACATGTTAATGATGCAAAAAGACATCAGACTGACAGACGAGCTGGAGTCTTAAACTCTCACCTGACACCTCAGAGATGTTCTGAGCTTGCAAAGAATATGCAGTCACACAGTTTTTACTACACGCTACAGTATTACCTTGAGCTTGTTGCCCGCTTGTGTGTATTTCTTGGTAGCCAGGTGGTAATTGCCCTGTCGCATGCAGCAGTCTGCTATCTTCTCAAGCACCTCCTTGCGGGCATCTTCAGATAAATCTTTTGAATCTGTAACGGTCATTCTCTCTGCCAGTTCCTCTGTGATGGTCAAGTTCTGGGTCACACACAGCTCCAGGGCTTGATGGTACTGGATATATAAATATAAAAAGACACACATAAGCACATGTGAACTGATACTTCCTTGTGTAGGTCATACAGTGACACACACACAGGTACCTTCTTGGCTGCTACCAGTAACTCCACAGCCTTCTCATACTGGGAATGTGTGATGAAGAAGTCAGAGCATCGTGCCAGGAGAGCCGGGTCTGAGTTCTCATTCAGATCCTCGGCGATCAGCTGAAGCACAGAGAACTGTTGGGTGGAAAAGGCCAACTCCAGAGCTTTGGAGACATAACCAGCCTACAGGCGGAAAAATGAACAAAATACATACTTTTTGTTACAATAAAATAAATTCCCTGGATTTTATTTACTCATCAACATTGTTCATCTTAAATATATGGTGCAACACTTCCCCCTTGTGGCAGAATCTCACATGGATACCTTGTGGTAGAGTGTGACAGCTCGGTCCATGTGGGTGCCTTTCTCCTCGTAGTAACAGGCAGCCTCCATCATGTCCTCCGGGTTACTGAGCAGAGCCAGGTTCATCAGCTGGTCATCCAGACCATTCTCCTGTTAAATGATAATAATAACATTAGCTTTTATTTGTATGGAGCTGTAAATGTAAGATAAACATCATAATCCAACATTAAAAGCAGTTCTGAAAAGGTGGGTTTTGTGAAATGTTTGGACGGTGGACAGTTCAGTGCAGTAAGATTTGATTGGGAAGAAAGTTCCAGAGGGAGGGGGCAGCTTTGGAAAAGGCCTCTGTCGCCCCAGGTCGGGTGCTGGTCCTGAGCGGAGGCTACAGGAGGCAGTGTGGTTCCTGTCTTTGTCATTATTGTTTAGGTTAAATATATGGGGGAATATTGTCCCCTTGTGGCACGATTTAGAGCACATCCATCCAATCATTCTGTTACACACAAAAAGAGTCCACACACTGAGAGGCTTGTTTACATGAGTGAGTATAACACAGTAAATCGATCAAACCAATAAAAAGCTGCGTTGATTCATAGACACATGTAAGTACACAGCGGAGTACCGTACCTTACAAAGTCGTATGGCGTTGTTGTAGGCCTGGGCTCGTGTGTAGAAGTGGACGGCCTGTTTGATATCATCATGACCCTCGTAGTGTCTGGCCAGGTGGTACGATGCTGCTCTGTCACCTGTGTCATTGGCTATCGCAGACGCCTGGGAGAGAGAGAAACTTTTCTGATAAAACTCCTTTCCTGTACTCATCTTTTAAACTGTAATATCTTGATTCTATTTTTATCTAGTAGTTTATGTATGTAAACATTAATATATAATGTAAATACAGCATTTATCTGTAGTTATCTTGTAGTTAACTGTGTTATATTTGAGTCTGAAAAATAAATGTCATCATTATTACTGCAATTCCTCTTTGAGGGGGATGGATGGATGGATACATTAATGAATAAATAAATAAAGTAAGAAAGTAAGTAAAGTAAAAGAAGAGTAAGTATCCATCCATCCAAAATTACAGAAAAACACACAATGATGCAATTTCAAAAACATTCTATATTTTTCTATACTTTCAGACTTTTAAGATTCAAGATCATGTTCCCAAATGAAATTATTTTCAGTAAACTAAGTGACTACAAATGTGAGTCACCTTCTGGATGTTCCCCATGTAGCAGTGGACTCGAACCAGTGAGAGGTAATCCTGAGCACATTCATAAAAATGCAGTGCTGAGTCCATGTCCGACTGGCTCTCCAGGTACTGGGCCCACCACTTGTAGATGTTCCTGTATTGATAGCATTATGTTTCAATGAATCTTTGAGCATGTATGTACAGAAGAAGGAGATGTAGGAGGTGCAGTCAGGACTTACTTGTCTTTCATTTTGTTAACATAAATCTCAAGAGACGATGTGTCATCCTGAAGCATTCTGGGCACTTCAGCCCTGTGTGTGTCTGAATTCTCATAACTGCAACAGAAACGCTGACGATCACACTTTGTTTTCAGTGTTTTCAGTGTTCACAGATTTTCACAGATATCTATTATATTTTTAACATAAAATAGATTGTATTAGTGATTGTGTCTTACTATACAAGGGCCAGGGTCTTGTTGCCCATGGACTCCAGGTATTTGGCGTAATTATAGAAAGTGGTGCGCAGATGGATGCGATCATTGCTTTCTGCGGTCTCTAAAGCCTGCTGCCACTGGCCAGAGGCCTGGTAGAAATTGTTCAGAAGGTCGTAGCGTTGACAGCACTTGTACAACTTCTCTGCATCTTCCTGTTTGAAGACAGGAAAAGATGATGGAAAATGAAATGTTTTGGTCCGGAAAGCCCCCGCGCTCTGTGTGGTGAAATGCTTAGACCTAAAAACACCACTTCTTTTTTTGTAGCTAAAAGATGTGGTGTTACGTTGGTCAAATTATTTATGAAGAACAGAAAAAATATGGAGATTGAACTTATTGACTGGAGTGAAGAGATGGTTTAATCTTCTGGTTTTTCCAAATGCAATACATATGTCTTTTGAACATATGGTGTTTGTACATGTCTCAGTGATTTTCTTACAGTTTGAAAAATATGTCACGTACAGTTGAAGGTAGTTTCACCCAAAAACGTAGCAGTAAAAATGTCTTTCTTTAAAAAGGACAAGCACAATCAAATCAAGACTATGAGTCAGCCACGTCCCATCAATCATTTACACTGAAATGCTTGAACGTCTTACCAGCATGCCGAGCTGAATGGCCAACATTGCCACTTGGGCCTCTGGTTCAGGCTCGGCCTCAGCCTCCTTCAGTGCTTTTGCTGCCCTGGCATTTCCCATATTCCCAAGACACACGCGTGCCACATCCAGGCGACAGGTTTTCACACACATCCGGGCCATGTTTTCCCATACCGCTTCACTACAGAGAAAAGAGAAAAGGCTTGTTTGCAAGGGTGATGTGTTACTCATTGTAGTGGTATTTTATTATTCAACAGTGAACACAATTGTAGACATGTCAATGTATAATACAGCTCAGAGAATGTCTTATTTGAAAAGAACAGTTTATATTTCAGACCTAATCCTTAGTGTGCTTGTGAAAATGATGAAAACAGATGCAAATATGTAAAAACCCTCATGTCTAACTGGCCAGACCTCGAGTACTGTGTGACATTTTAACATTTATCAAGATTAATTAATTAAATCCACCACTATACCCTGCACACAAACACTGATAAAAGCATAACGATGCAAGAGTAAATGCAGGAATTTAACGCAAAACAAGAGCTGTTCTATTCTGTCTCTTTCCTTTATTGTTTTGTCCTGCTGACGCAAATCAGCCCCCCTACCCCCTTTTTTGCTTCATTTCCAAATTTAAGATTCCACAGCCATCTGGTCTCTATTTGTGGCCCCTCCCTCCTCCTTGCTAAGGCCGATACAGATGTGGGCTGTTTATTAAAGTTAGGCAACAGGAAATACCCCAAATCTTTAGGGGCCCTGCTTTAAGTGGGGCCATGAAGGCCAAGTGAAGAAAAAGAAAGCAAGACTATTAGTGTCTGCCAAATTCTTGCTGTATATGGTCACAGAAAAATCAAACATGAGAGTGAGATACTATAAAACAACTGAGAAATAATAAGCCTGCTGCTCAGCGAGCGGCAAGATCTAGAGAGCCAGAAAAGGAAAGACAAGAAGAGGAACAGGTCTACATTTGGCCTCTCTTCCCATCCTCTTTTCCTCTCAGGAAACACATCCTGTTACTGCCTGACTGCGGTGGCCAATATGTTTGTTGCACACGAGAGAGAGAACTTTAGTGAACGCCCCCTGGGCTCCAGACAAAAGAATACACAACAGTGACGTCTAACAGGAGGTTTTTTTGTAAATTCTCTCACACAAACACACTGACACACACACACATTTTAAAGTGATCCTGAAGGAGGGGACTGTCTGTTTCAAGCTTGCTGCATGTGTGAACTGATGTCTCGGACTATGACGAATAGCAACTCCCCCACTTGACTCTGACCTCAAGGATTTGCAGAGAAACAGTGTGTGAGAGAGAAAGGAGGGAAGAGAGAAAGAAGCAGAGGGAGGTGGGCTACAGGACTTCTTGTTCATGTTCGAGCTTGGAAACCTTAAACAAAACGAGTCACCTCCGAGTATCGTGTCTGGATAATCACTGCTTTCTTGGCAACAATACTCTTGTGAAAGCAATGTGAAGTGACTGAAAGGGAAAAAAAAAAAAAATCTAATGCTTGCACAGAAAAGCTAGCCCTGCGTGCAGAAGTCAGTGCATTCAGCAAAGCACAGAAGAAAGGCAGAGAAGATAAAGTACGAAGGGAACAACGGTGAGATTCCAGAGTCAAGCTGCAGCCAGCCAGAGCCAGTGGAATGGACCAAGGTGCCAGTTGGATTAATCCCTGCTTACCCACAGTGCTGTCTGAGGAGGAGGGCTGAGGATCTGCTGCAACGACAACAAACCCCTGAATGAGGATGAATGGAGATGTTCTTTAGCTAAATCTTAAGAGAACACTCTGGTTAAATACACCTCTGAGCTGCAACAACACACGCCAGAGGAGGTGGTGGTGGTGGCGGAGGAGGTGGAGGAGAGGAGCCAGGGGGCCCAGAGCACTGCTGGTGCTACTGCCCCAGAGGAGAGGCACGGGAGCGGGCAGGACACCGAGGAGGAACAGGGTCTGGAGGAAGGACCCGAGGGAGGAGGCGAGGTGGCGGGTGTTCGGCGTCGCATGGCCGTGCAGAGGCTGGTGGCAGCGGCAGTCGCCGTAGCCCTGCTGTCCCTGGTCCTGAATAATGTCGCAGCCTTCACCCCCAGCTGGGTCCTCCAAGCCCTGGAGGATGGACGCAAGCGGAGCGTGGGACTGTGGAGAATGTGCCCCACCGGTGGGGAGAGGGGCCGTGACGACCTCCAGGCTGGGAGAAGGGGGCAAGGGACTCAGAGACAGTGTGAGGGCCTTGGATGGGGCTCTGAGTATGCAGGCTATCAGGAGTCCCGCAGCACTGTCAAATGTAAGTTTTTACTTTATGTCTGCTTTCCAAACACAGTGAATATTAGCAAACTGCAAAGTGTCTTTTTCTCATCAGACTGAATGGTTAGTATGTCCAAGATGTAGCAATTCTGCATTTTCTGGTCCTGGTGTCATGTTTTAGTTATTTTTATTACTTTACTAAGAATGATCAATGTATCTGCCAAAACCAAAACACTGAAGTCACAAGTGCGAGTAAGAATTTACAATGCGTACTGCATTTGAAAAGCTAATTCATCTTTGCCAGCAGGGTTTGAGTCTAAACATAGTCTAGAAGAACTTTAAAGTGGAGTGAGTGTTTACAAAGCTTCATTGAGACATTTCCCCCAAGAACAAAACTGGGAAATGCTTAACGTTCACTCAACAGTCGAACTGGGCACAATTGGAAGCCCTGCCTGGCAAAGACACACCTCACACCATTCATAATAAAAAAGTAATCATGTCTATGTCACCTTCCCACATGTATTGCACTCTTAAAGAAACTATATGAAACTAAAACGATTGAACCTCTGTGTGTGAGGATCCTGCACCTTATAACATGTAGAGCACTTTGATGACAGGTTATGAATGCTTTTTAGATAGAGGACATCTATATATCTATGTATCTATCTATTCCTGCAAATGTATAATATATAATTTCATGTTGCTCAACAACAGTCACATAACGGGAAACGTGACACTCATGTGAAACTCTCCTTCTTGCCACTCAAGTGCAGTTTGACATGATGCGAGCATGTAACCTGATGGCGACAGTGGCCCTGACTGCCGGTCAGCTGATCTTCCTCCTCGGTCTGATGGAGCTGCCTTTCATCATGCAGGAGTCACAGTGGTGGGAGGAAGCCATCGCTGCACTCTTCCAGTTAGCCAGTGAGTACCAGTGTTCCCAATGCTTGTTTGCTTAAGTTGTTTTGCACCGGAGAAGGATCTTTCTGATGAAGACCAGTTTACCCTTGCAGCTACATTTTCATGCATGTTTTACATGCACTCTGGAAGAATGCCAACAGGAGGGGGATAAAACCACAGAGCGAGCTAGACTAGCTAACTCTCATATGAGAAAGACAGAGTGCAAATTTTGCAAAAACTCAATCCCTCAGATCAGTATATGCACCAAAGCTTTATCATTCTTTAAAATATAAATCAATGCAAATATGGAGACAAATACAAACATACATTCATATCATTATTATATGCTTCATAAATTTATTACAACTTTATTTATTTTAAAAAGTTGAATAAACTAGATTCTGAGAATTTTTGATTTTGGCAAAGAAAGAATATAAAACTATAAAAAAAGAAAATAATAAACATCTACTAAAGCAGCCAAACTGTGAAGGATTAAAAAGGGGGAAAAGAGTAAACCAGAAAGCTGAAAGAGAGTTATCCTTATCGGACATGACTTACTGCAGTCATGGTAACAAAAACTCTCCTCCACACCCAGCACACGCACACACATCCATCCCACTGTGCCACTTTAAAGAGTTGGCTCGCAGAGCCTGTCCCAGTGCCCCTTCTGAGGAAGTGTGTTGTGCTGTGTGCAGTGGTTGCTCAGTCGCTCGCTATCATTGTGGCAGAGCAGAATGAAGGGGGTCTTTTCTGGGTCTAAATTTAGTCCCAGTCCAGAATCCATGGGCCAGAGCTGCAGCGAGCCAGGGAGCGACTGTCAGGCGCCAGGATATCCCTGCTCAGGACGAGGAAATGTCTGTGACTACCTGTTATGCAAAACCCCAAGCTGAAGAAGGAAAAATAAGGGAGGGTGGGGGGGGGGGGTGGACGGGAAAGACAGCTTTGACATGGACTGTGTTTGTGTCTGCACTGGCAGGAGGGATTATGCATGTACATTTTTGTGTATGTCAGAGTGTGTTGTGATTGTTTGTTTATAGTTTGTTTAGTAGAGTTTTAGTATGTCCTGTGGCCTGACAGCAGGGTGGGAATTGCCTCCGTCCAGATAAACTGGCTTAGCTTTTATGTCTGCGTCTATGAAATGTCCAGTAGCAGCAGCAGATAAAGAATCGGCCCTTTGCGATTAGCATTTTTAGCTCACACTGCAGCAGGGATGAGGGCTTTTACCTAATTTATCTTGATGTGAGCATTGAGACTTACCCAGTATTACTGTTTTCAAATTTTAAACTGTGTAACAGAATCATGTGCAAATAGTTCTTACACACAAAGCATAGTTCAAAACAGAGTTCACTCATGACCTTATAAGCAGTAGTTTTGTATTTTATAGTATATAAAGCATTGTTTTTGTCAATAGTCACTATTGAACTAATGTAGTCCAGTAGTCTTAATGAAGTCAATGTGAATTTCTTTCAGAAACTATAGGAGCCTTACACGTTGGTGATTTAAGCTAGTGTATGCACACAGAGACAGTGCTAACATGGTAAAGTTTAGGAATGCTATCCATCGCAGATTAGCATGCAAACATTTGCAAATTAGCAGTAAAAGCAGAGTCTAGAGAGGATGATCAAATGTCATTTTCTTTGCAGGTGTTCGGTCAGAAACAAGAGCAACGGACAAAATTAGTTTTAGTATTTGGTCATAAACCAAAAAAATAAAATAATAAATTATTTAAGTTATTTAAACAACTGATCAGATTGAGAAAATTATCATCAGACTGATCAGAATCAAAAATGTATTTCTTCTTTTAATTATCCAATTAAGAAAACTTTAGGATGCAAAATACACAAATGGAAAATCATATTCAAGTTAAAGGGCCTATATTGCCACCTGACTGCGGTGGCCAATATATCTGCTGCACAAGAGAGAGTGAACTTTAGTGAACGCCCGAGGGCTCCAGACAAAAGTCTAACAGGAGTTTCTTGTAAATTATTTCCTATTTCTGAAGAACAGATAGGTGTGTCACTCATTCAGTAATCCATTCCCC